CGCCTCCTGTTCCTCCTCCTAAGTCGTTCTCCGAACAGGGTTGCTCCTTGGGAAGCGTCGCTGGCCGCCCGTCTGCGATCTTCCGTTGACGTTTCGCTCAAGCTTTTCCCCACGGGGCATGGTGCCCCCGTGGGCGGTCGGAGCCCTCACCCAGCTGTCGCATGGCGTGGCCTCCTGGCTGAGTCGGGCACCGCCGCCGCCGCCGTGCCCGGCGTTGGAGTGCCCGGACTGCCACTGCGCCTGCCCCGCGGCCCCGCCCTGCCCGGCCTGCCCAGGGGCGCCGGCTCCCCAGTGCCCGCAGCAAGAGCGGGGGCGCGCCTCCACGGCGCCCGCAGCCCCGACGGTGGCGGCGGCCTGGGGGACGACCGTGGCGTCGCTCGTGATCGGCATCGCGCTCGGCGACGTCGGGAGGTGGAGCGATGGCTGCTGCTGCCGCCGACGCCGTGCCCGCGCTGGAAGGAGTGGACCAGGTGGCGTACCTCCTGTATGCGGTGCCGGGGGCGCCCCTGTGGCACCAGCGCTGGAATTTGGGTCGGGTGGTGTCCTGTCCGAGTGACGCGATCCTGGTCTCGCCGGACCACCAGGTGCAGTGCGAGGTAGTGGACGGGACGTCGGCCGACATCAGCGCGGTGCGGTGGGCGCCCGCCCTCGCCCCCAGGCCGCCGGGCGTCGTGCGGGCCTACCGCTTCGCGAGCCCCCCGACCGCGGCGGAGGTGGCGGCCTGGCTCCCCGATGCCCAGGCCGAGGCTCGGCGCTGCTTTGCTCGGCGCCACCCGGGCGTGGCCGTGCCGGCGCCCGTCTTCGAGGCGTGGCCCTGGGCTGCGCCGGGGGCGCCGGCTGCCGCCGTCGGGCCCGCCCCTGCCGCGGTGGCCCCCGCCGCCGGGCCGCCGGGCGGGGGTTGGGTCGTCGTGCCAGCGGGGGGCCCGCCGCCCGCCGCGGCGCCCGTCGCCCCGGCACCCGCGCCCCTGCCGGGCGGGGTGATGCGCCGAGGAGGTGCGGCCGCGGGGGCTGTGCCGGCCGCGGGCGGCGGGGAGGCGGGCGGTGCGCCGGCGCCCGCGGGAGCAGCGCTCGCAGCGGCCGTAGTCGGGGCGGCCCGACCCCTGGTGCTGGCGGGAGGCGCTGGCGACGCCGCCCCCGCCCCTGTGGGGAACTGGCGCGTCGCCCAGGAGTGGAGGGGGTACCACTACGGCGATGTGACCACCCCTCCAGCGGGCTTCGCTGGGGCGGGCACTCCCGCCCGCGGAGTCGTCCTGCTCGCAGACGGGTCGTCCCTCTTCGTCGAGTGGGTGGCCATCGGTGACGAGTCGGACTTCGCCGACCGGGCGGTGGCGCCCGACTGCCGCCTGCTGCCGGTCCGCTTCGATCGCGCTGGCAGGCCCTTCCGGACGCTCGAGAACCTCGTAGAGAGCTGCCGCCAGGAGCACCTCCCCGACTTCATCGCGCCGAGGACGACCATGTGGTGCCTCGAGCACCTCGCGGGCGAGGGCCGCTCTCTCGAGTCCCACTTCGAACACTTCAAGAAGCTGTGCGGCCTCCAGGACTCCCAGTGGGGCATGGAGGAGTACGCCAGTGTGATCAGCTACCTGAAGGCGTTGCTCCAGCACGATCAGGTGGACGCGTCCAACATCCTGTCGGTGGAGATGATGTTCCGCCGGCTCCAGACGATCGAGTACTGCTACAGCGACAAGTTGCGCGAGAGGACAGCGGGCTCCTCCGCGGGGAGGCTCACCGCCGACGAGCAGGCCGCCTTCGGGGCGACGGCCCGAGCCGAGTCGAGGCTCATGGTGTCGCCCGCGCTGCTCGAGAGCGCCAAGCAGGAGTTGGAGCGCGACGCCTCGCTGGCCAAGAGCCTCCTGAAGGCGCGCGAGGCTCGGGAGTCGCTGGGCAAGCGGAGGCAGGGCCAGGGGAAGGACCAGGGGTGATGCCCGACCGCCCCCCCCAGACGTCCCTCAGGTCTGGTGGGGGGGATCCCGACATGACTGGGGATGCTCGGCACGCCGTTGCGCCGCCGGGGAATTTTGACAGGAACGTGGGGAGGGATCTGCTACCTTTCCCCACGGAGCTGCTCAACTCGTCGGAGCCACCAGCACCTGGGCTCTCGCGAGTTTGCCGACAGAGAGTCGGCCGTCGGCAGCGTCGTCACGCCGACGTTCTTCGGTGCTTGGAAGGTCTCAACACGATATACGGCCGCCGTGAAGGGGTACCTGTACCTGCTGATCTGAGCCTCGGGCAGCAGCGTGTGCTCGATCACGTTGAGTCCTCTGTCTCTTTCCTGGGGCCCCCCCCAGATGATCTTTCGCAGGCGGCAGCCCTCCAGGCGCTGCGCCTCGGCCTCCCCTACGACGCAGGGGGAGGCCCTGTGGGCTACGAAGCCTCCCGCGTGTCCCTCCCGGCGGCTGGGTCGGCCCCGACTCCGATCGCTCGGCTTTGGGGATCCGGCGGGGAAAGTACTGTTGCACGCTTTGCTGAGTCGCAAGTTTTGCCCATCGACGTGGCACGAATGAGGTTAAAGGACTCGGGGCCCCTTCGGCCCTACGGCGACCCTCGCCTCCACTCCCCCTCTTTGTACGGCGAATTCATTCAGCGTTTGGTCGAGGCTGGCGTAGCCGAGCTGACGCTCGAGCGACCTACCGAGGTGGTGGATTGCTTCTTTGTAAAAAAGGGGGGCGGCAAGCAGCGGCTGGTCGTCGACTGTCGGCGGTCTAATCAACATTTCGAGCCGCCCGCCCCTGTCAGCCTAGTCTCTGGCGACACTCTCTCCCAGGTGCATGGCGACGACTCCCTCGGTCAGCCCGTGTTTATTGGCCAGGTCGATATAAAAGACGCTTTCTATCACATGGAGCTCCCGGAGGGGCTCCGCCAGTATTTCGGGCTGCGTAGAATTCGGGCCTCGTGGGCGGGCATCTCTCAAGTCCAGGGAGTCCGTGTGTCCCCGGGGACCTGGGTCACCCCTCGGATGCGAGCCTTGCCCATGGGGTGGTCCTGGGCCCTCTGGTGGTGCCAGGCGATCCACGAGGAGGGAGGATCCCCTGCTGCAGCCCGACTCGCGGACGGCTCCCCTCCGCCTCCCCTCGCCTCCTCCCCTCGCGCACAGTACGTAGACAACTATGTGGTGATTTCGACGAGCGAGGCGGTTGTCCGCGAGCGCTTGGCAGGAGTGTCCCGGGCCCTCGAGTCTCGGGGGCTGCCGCTGCATAAAGAGTCTGTCTCTTGCGATCGGGCCGTCGTGCTGGGGTGGGAGATCGATTGCCTTCGGCGCACCTTCCGCCCGACCCCCGAGCGTGTCTGGAAGGCTCGTCTCGCTATTCGGGGTCTTTTGGCACGGGCCTCGGTCTCTGGAGGGGACCTGGAGCGCCTCCTGGGCCATCTGTGCTTCATCGGCCTGTGTAGGCGAGAGTCGCTCAGCGTGTTCAAATATTGCTACAGGTTCTGTGAGGCCGCGCGGAGATGCCCTGCCCGGGGGCCTCGGGCCCTCTGGGCCTCTGCCAGAAAGGAGCTCGACACCTGGGACCGTATCGCCCCGCTCATCTGGGTCAACACCTCTGCGGGTACCTGTCCAGACGTCGTCGTGGTGGACGCGTCGCCGTGGGGCCTTGGGGAGATCGAGTCCCCAATCACGAGCAGCCTCGAGCCCAAGTTGGCGACGGACCTCAGGAGGTGGCGCACCCCGTACAAAAGCGCCTCCGCTTCCAGGGCCGGCATAGACGTCGAGGCCCGTTTCCACCTCTGCCTCCCGCACACCCTCCAGGGGGCCCTCAAGAGGTCCAAGGGGACGTCCTCGAACGACTTCGTGCGCCGGCGGTCGAACTCGCTTTCGGGGCGGTGGTGTCGAGACTGGGGTCGCACGAGCTCCATCAGGATCCGCCTGTCGGCCTCCCCCTCACCTCCGTGCAGCTGCGCAGCGGCCGCGGCGAAAGCGCGCTCACGGGGGGGCCGCCCTTCCCGGGCCGCCTCCCGAGCCCCAGCACGCTCCGAGTGACGGCAGGCCTCCTTGACCAGGGCCACCGGCGGTCGCCACGAAGGGACGGTCCTCTTGCGATGGCATGCTCTCGGTGACCCGTCGGCTGGGCGCCCTGCTGCTGGGGACCGGCAGCCTCCTGCGGTCGCGCTGGATCGCGTCGGAGCTCAACCCTGCGGACGGACCCTCGCGCGGCCGACCGGCGCCGAGCGACCCGCTTGCCGGCCTGCGGCGCGAACTCGCGACCGCCGCCGGCGAGGGCCGCGATGCTGGCGCGCGGCAGGTCCGACAGATCGAGGACCCCCGCGGGCCGCCAGCCGCCGCCGCCCAGTTCGGGGTCGGCCTCCCGCCCGGCCTTGGCCCCCCTGGAGACTGGGGGCATGCGGGCGGCCGCGGCGCGGGTGCGGACGGAGCGCGCTGCCATGCTGGCTGCGGCGCGGGCCCCGCAGGCCCAGATGAGCCTGCTTCGGAGGGCCTCGGTGTCGGCGAAGACGCAGGCCCAGTACTCTCTCTACCTGGCCGCCCTGCACAGGTTCTGCGACTCCCGCGGGGACCACCCGAACACCGAGGAGGAGTGGGACATCGCCACCGCGGGCCTGATGGAGATCATGTTCATGGAGGGCGGCTCGTTGAGCGCGGGCGAGAAGCTCCTGGCGTCGGTGCAGTGGGCCGAGCCGCGCCTCGGCAGGCTGGGGGGCGGGCGGATGCCCGTCTGTCGGCAGTGTCTGCGAGGCTGGCGCCGCGCTGCCCCGTCAGGGGGCCGCTTGCCCCTGCCCTACGACGTGGTGGCGCTCCTGGCGTGCTGGATGATCTGCCAGGGGCTGAGACCCCACGCGCTGGCCATCCTCATGATGATGGAGCTGTACTTGCGGCCAGGAGAGCCATTCCTGCTACGGGGCCGCGACGTAGTGGCGGGGTCCCTCAGCGGAGCTCGCGAGTGGACCCCCACGTCGGTCCTGCTCCACCCGTTCGAGATGCGGACCCCGTCCAAGAGCCAGGAGTTCGACCAGACGATCGTCCTCGACCTCGACCGGCAGGCGGCGCTCGCGGACGTCCTGGTGCAGCTGGGGCTGGAGCGCGGCGTGGGGCCCTTGCTGGATCTGACGCCCAGCGCCCTGCGCCGGGCCCTGGACGAGGCCGCGGCTGCCTGGCGCCTGGGGCCCCTCGGGCCGCTCGACGCCTACCGCTTCCGGCACACGGGGGCGAGCGTCGACTTCGCGACCGGCGCCCGGCGGCTGGAGGAGATCCAGCGCCGAGGGCGGTGGCGGTCCGCGCGGAGCCTCCGCCGCTACGAGCACGGGGGGCGACTGGCCGACCTCTTGCGCCGCCTGCCGCCCGACGTGCAGCGGGCGGCCGCGGCGGCCGCTCAGGAGCTCCCCGACGCGCTGCGGGGGAGGCGGATGCCGTCTTTGGGCCGCTGAGGGCGCCGACCGTCGCCGTGTTCTTCGAGCTGTTCGCGGGCTCGGGCCACCTGTCCGACGCCGTAGAGCGGGGAAATGTCCCCACATTGCGGTGGGACATCCTGTACGGCCCCGCCTACGACCTGCGCGACCCCAGGAGCGCCCGTCTCATTCGAGGCTGGATACGGGCGGGGCTCGTCTGCGGCCTGCATGCTGGCTTCCCTTGCGAGACCTTCTCGCGGGCGCGAGACCGCCCCAACGGCCCTCCGCGGCTCCGGTCCCAGGAGCACGTCTGGGGCCTGCCCAGTCTCCATCCCGAGGGCGCCGATTTCCAGAAGGTGAAGTGGGGCAACCTGTACGCGCGGCTCACGATATCCTTCTGCGTGCTGTGCTGCCAGTGTTTCGCCCCCTGGTCCGTCGAGAACCCCGCGCTGAGCTACGCGTGGCAGCTGCCGCCGATGCTGTCCCTGCTCCAGCGCCGGCAGGTCACGACCCAGGTGATCGAGTACTGCCGGTTCGGGACGCCCTGGAGAAAGTCAGAGCGTAAATTACCTCCCCCGCTTTCGCTTCCAGGCAAAACCAAGCCATACCACGCGCCTCCTCGTCAAGCGGCCTGACCAGTACAGGCCGCAATTTGGCATCGCTTGGTATCTCTTGGAAGCGAGGGTGGTCAAAAGCGAGGTAGGTTTGTTTGCCCCCTAGAAAGAGCACCAGGATTGCTGCGTTTCTCCTCGACTTGGCACCCTTGGCCAAGTTCAGGTGTACAGGGCCCGTCTGTGTCCTCACTGGGCAGCGGCATCAAGAACTGTCCGGCAAAGACGCATCGGGCAGGTTCCGCACTAGATTGGCAGAAGCATATCCTCGCAAGCTCTGAAGCACCCTCGCCAGAGCCTATGCCGACGAGAAAGCCAGGTCCCGGGCAGGTCAGTTCTCCGTTTTTCTTCCGACGCTTCATTAACAATTGTTGTATTTTCGGCGTTGCCAGTCTAGCTGTGCATTTTGCAGCATTTTGGATGTGTCCGAAATTTCAGTTGATGTCCGTGGCCGCCTACGGATCGGAGATCCGTGGCGGCAGCCTCTTGCGTCGGCAGCGTCTCGAAGCCTCGCCACCTGGCCTGCCCGAGTTGGAAAAAGGGAGCATAAGTCGTTCTCCGAACAGGGTTGCTCCTTGGGAAGCGTCGCTGGCCGCCCGTCTGCGATCTTCCGTTGACGTTTCGCTCAAGCTCCCTCCCTCCCCCCCTTGCTTTCACTCTATCTTTGCCGGGATGTGTCCGAAATTTCAGTTGATGTCCGTGGCCGCCTACGGATCGGAGATCCGTGGCGGCAGCCTCTTGCGTCGGCAGCGTCTCGAAGCCTCGCCACCTTGCCTGCCCGAGCTGGAAAAAGGGAGCATCCTCCTCCTCCTCCTCCTTCTCGGGAGAGGGAGGAGAACGGAGGGCGGCCCGACGGCCCCGTGAGAGCCCACAGAGGCTCCAGACACCCACCAGACGCCCGAAGGCGACCCAAAGAAGACCCCCAAGAGGCCCGTTGCCATTTTGGCTCAAGGCGCCCTGGCCTAGGACTGACCCCGCGCGGCCCGCGATACCGGTACCTCGTGGTACCCCCAGCAATGGCGAGCGCCCCGCGGGACGCCATGGCCTTCAGCGAGAGGTCCGTGCGGCGCGGCTTCGTCCGGAAGGTGTACGGGATATTGGGCACTCAGCTGCTGGTCACCACCGTGCTGGGCGGGGCTGTCATGAAGAAGAGCGAGTCCATGGACCCGGAGATTGGCACCGTCCTGATGTTTCTGTCTTTGCTGGGCTCGGTTGCGACCATGATGGTGTTCTGGCGCTGTCCTCAGGTGATGCGCCGTTCTCCCACGAACTATATCCTGCTGGGGATGCTCACCCTCGCCAAGAGCGTCATGGTTGGCTTCATCTGCAGCCAGTACAGCGAGGAGTCGGTGCTGGTCGTCCTCGGCCTGACGTGCTTCATCCTGGCGGGCCTGACCGCGTTCACGTTCCAGACGAAGTACGATTTTACTGGTTTCGCGTCGTACCTGATGTGCGGATCACTCGTCATGCTCGGCATGAGTTTCGGTCCGATGTTCGGCTCCATCTTCGGTCTTTCGGGCGCGGCCTTCCAGACCGCCCGTCTCTGCATGTGTGGGCTTGGCGCCTTGCTCTTTGCAGCCTACATCGTGTACGACACCCAGATGATCCTTGGGAACAAGCACCCAAACCGCAAGTTCTCGGTTGATGACTACGCCGCGGCGGCCATCATGCTCTACATCGACATCGTCCAACTGTTCCTCTACCTCCTGGAGCTCCTCGGCGACCGCAGGGACAGCCGCGACCGCGGCGTGAGGGGTGCCCGCGCCCGCTTCCAGCCGGCGCGGTAAGCGGGCACAGTTGCGCCAGCCGGGCGTTGGCAGATGCGTTGGCCGCAGTCCAGCAGCGACTGACACCACTTGAGCCAGACACAGCGAGGTCTCACTCGAGCCAGTTTAAGCAGCGCCGTGGCCAGGGCAGCGACACGCATCACAGCGACGTGTGAGCGACAGAGAACAAAAAAGAAACAAGAGGCATTCGGAACGCAAAAGCCATTGCTTTCCTTTGATTTTTGTATGACTTGGGAAATGCTCAGTTCTTCCGTCTTCCGGGCGTCCGAGACTGCCCAGGAGGCCGGAGCATCGCCCCAAATTAACCAAGAGGGCTTCCAGGCAGTCCAAGATGAGCCCCAAGACGGCCCAGCAGGGTCGTTCAGGGAGACCGCGGCAGGGTGGCCCAGGGAAGCCCCCAGTGGCCCCCGAAGGAACCCAGGAGGCTTCCAGAAGGCCCCAACAAGCCCTTAAACACCTGCGTGAGATTTACAAGAGGCGTTCCCAGGATGAGCTTCGACAAGAAGAGCTGAGGATGGTGGCGAATTCGCAGGGTAGTGCGAGAATGAGGAAGAGGAAGAGGAAACATGAGGGAAGGATAACACATTACAGTATCATAACGACGACGCCAGAAAAGGCAACAACGAGTTATCGCTAAATGTTCCGCTTTACCTTATTGCCTTCCTGTCTGCATGCCAAGCTTGAAGGACCAAAGTGCATGGCGCGAAGCGCCAATGCAGTCTTGTATACAGTCGGGCCGCTGACTACGGACATTTACTTTTCAAAAGGAGCTCGGGCGTTCCTTAGGTTTGCATGCGTTCCGCTTTTTTGGGGCGGCGAGCCCCCCAGTGCCCCTTCGGGCTTCATGGGCTTCTTTGGAAAAGCGGGGCCTCGTTCCTTATTTGTCGTTCGTTGGGTCAGCGGCCCGACTGTATGTATGTTTGTATGTATGTGTGCATGTATGTATGTGTGTATATGCATGCACGTAGTATGTCTATATATATATATGTATATAGATATGTGTGTCGGTGGTCCTTTTGTCGAACAGCACGTTCCTTTACAACAGTGGAAGTTCGAGTTCGGCTACATCATCGGTCGGGCCCTGCGCTGCAACTGGAGAGGACAGTGATGTGAATCAAGCCAGAAAGGAAGCTGGCGGTAACACCATGAGTGGACGCATTACCACCGTCAACACTGATGTTTCTGGGCCCTTGCTGCAATATCTTGGACAAGCGCGTGATGCCGCCATATTGGTTCAAGAGCACAAGGCGGATCACAAGATGCTTCCTAAGCTCCAGCAGCAGATCCAGGACATCGGTTACCATGGTGTGTATGCAGCAGCTGAGCGTACTGAAGCAGACGGCCTCAGCTCGGGCGTGGCGGTGTTGGTGCCGACCTTTGTGATGATCACGGCGCCGCCACTGTTATCGTCGCCAACGTTATGGCCATCAAGAGCGGTGGTTGCACAGGTCAACTGGGGCTGTAAAGGCGGAGTTGTGTTTGTATCGCTCTACCCCAAAGACTCGGTTGGAATTGATGCCTACAACCAGTCCATATTATATAAGTTGGCAAAGTATATTGGCAGGCTTAACTCTCTTTCGAGACCATGGGTGGTTGGAGGTGATTGGAATCTTGAGTCGTATCAGCTTCGCGGGCAGCAATGGCTTGAGCAGATTCAGGCGATGTTTTTGGTACCTGTTGGTGCCACGTGCAGAGTTCACAAAGAAGCTGAAGGTCGTACTTACGATTGGTTTCTTCTTAGTGAGGCGCTGGCTTCGCTAGCTGGCGCCCCCCATGATCTTGGATGAGAAGAGTTTACCCACGCATTCGCCTGTGGCCATTCCATTTGCAAAGGCAGATAATGATATATGGTGGCGCTTGCTTGTTGAACCTCGTCAGCTCCCGAAAGGACTAAATTTTGGTTGTTCCAGGTATCCTGTAAATTGGGTGTCAGCCATGAGGGCGATAGAGGATGTTGACGGGCAGGCCTCATTGCAGCACGCATGGGATATGACACTGATGGCAGTTGAGCAAGAGTTGCGTGCACGGTATGACAAGGTAGGAGCTGGTTATGAGAGATACCTTGGACGAGGAGGACCAGTGCAGACTAAGTACGTCAAGGCGCAATGGAATCCGCGACAGGTGCGGCTACAGCATGGGCCGCGACTTCGAGCTTGGCTTCAGGCTGCGCGTTGGGCTAAGCATCTCATGAAAGTGCGGGCCTTTTGGTGCAAGATGGCTGAGGCGTTCAAGCTTGAGGGTAGAAGCGCTGGCAAGTTTTACCTTCCTGATTACACGAGTCCGCACTCTGACAAGGTCGTGGTATTGGAGACTACGAATGAAGAGATGGAGGAGGCTTGGCAGAAGGTCAAAGCCAAAAGACCACACTTGCGGCCTAAGTCTCGGCGTGCGGGGGTGAAGTCCGATAAAACGCGGTCAGAGCAGTTGAAAGGTGCAAACCAGCCTGCACAACCGCGTGCAAATTCTGAAGAAGATCTTAGATCTCACAAGCTGCTCAAAACGGCTGCAAGATTGGCGAGATCACTTGTTGATGTGGTCCACTTCTTGAAGAAGGTGCAAAATGCGCAGGACACGCTGCGGCATCTTGATGATTTGGCAGTTGATTTGTTTTCTGGGGATTTCACTATGATGGTCAGACCTGATTTTCTGACATTGGCATTCAAGATTGTGGAAGTTGCTGATGATATGATGATGGTGCATCAGAAGGAAGCTGACAAATCTTTGCAATCATGGGCCAGGTCTGCATTTGAGAAAGGAGCTGGTGCTGCACATCGCGCGTCGAAGGCGAAGGCATTGGAAGCTGCTGTCACTCACACTGATAACTTTCAGCCGTATCAACTTGCCGACAGAGAGCTTGAGTGCTGGAGTGAGGTGTGGAGTTGTCATGAAGTGGTTAGCAACAAGATGCCTGCCGATTATCAGAGCTGGGATCTGCTACCGAAGCTGCAGCCTGAAGACCTTCAGGAAGCGGCGCTTACCTTTCCATGGAAAACGTCGGTAGGTCCCACGCGACTGCATCCTCGGGCTTCCCGGTATCTTCCGCAGCCAGGCCTGGTTGCTCTTGCAGCTTTATTTACGATGTGTGAGCATATGTTGATGTGGCCGTCTGACAAAATAGTCAATAAGATGGTTCGACTGGCAAGACCTGATGGGGGAACACGTCTTATCATCTTGGTCGAGTCGCTAGTCCGTCTTTGGTCCCGAGCTCGCCGACCGATTTCCAGAAGGTGTATTCAAGATCATGGTAGCCGGTGTATTTGGGGCAACCGACGCGGCTACTCATCCAGCTTCTCGGCGTATGAGCATAACTTACATGCTGAAATAGCTGATCGACTAGGTGAATGTTCAATCACTGTATTTTTCGGTATGTGGAAATGTTTTGAGACGGTTATGTATGACGCCCTCATCATAGAGGCTCGGTCCATGCAGTTCCCCATGAGGCTCCTCTGGATGCTCTTGGACTCGTACCACAACCTAGAGTAAGTGGAGCTTTTGGGTGCTGGAGCAAATCGTTTCGGGCTCTGCAGGGTATACTTGCGGGATGTACTCATGCTACTACTCTGCTGTCTATATTGGCATATAGAGCTGTCCATAAAGTTACCCAGGTGAGCCCCAACGTGCACCCCAGGGCCTTGGTAGATGACGCCACCCTTCAGTGGACTGGGCCCAAGGTGGACGCCGCTCATGAGTTGCTCAAGGGGGTCCAGAGCTTCGTGAAGGACACGTCCAGGCTCGGTCTCTTGCTCCAGGTCAAAAAGTCTGGGTGGGTGGCTACGGCTGCATCGGCTAGGCATGGGTTTGGAAGGTTTGCTCAGAACATTCACTTGAAGGCGAAGTCTTGGGTGAGGAATCTGGGGCATGAGCTCAGCGGGCCCAAGCCGATCAGAAAGCAAGCCAATGCCAGGTTGAAGCAGCTAGCAGATAGGCTACCCAGGTTAAAGATGTTGAGACGTGGAGCTAGTAATCGAGTTACGGCTTTATGGAGGACAGGTCTCATGCCAGCTGCTGCTCATGGAGCCACAGTTTCAGGTGTCAACAATAGTGAGCTGGCCAAGCTTCGGCAGACGGCAGCAATGTTGGCGGGGCGGTCGAGTAAGTCTGCTTCCCCCACGCTTGTCCTTGCCACACAGGCTGACGCCAAGTACGACCCCATATATGATGCTACATTGGATCCAGTACGGGCTTATGCGTCGTTCATCTGGGACCAGAGGGTCAGTCTTGGGAGGCTTCAGAGGGCGTGGCAAAAAGTTCGAGAAATATGTTCGTCACGGCCTTCCTGGGCATCAGCCAAAGGTCCAATAGCAGTGCTTATGATAACGCTGGCAAAGATTGGCTGGGATATGTTTTCCAGTACGGTGTTGGTCAGTGATCTTGGCCACCACTTTGATCTTCCCCGTCTTCCTCCACGCTCGGTCGTGGAACTTGTGCGCCAAGGAATCGAGCGATGGCAATCTCAACAGATTCTTGAACATCACAAGGAGGTATGTGCAGGAGGAGAGATCATCTGGACGAGGGCGCTCAGGAAGTGCATTTTGGGAGGTAAGGCAGTGATTAAGAATGAGAGATTCGCTGGTGCACTTCGTTCGCTGTGGTCAGGTGCGTTATGGTCTCGTGACCGTCTTGCACGTGCTGGCTATAGAATATCTCCTGCCTGTTGCTGGTGCTCGGCCGATAAGGCCACCATCGGGCATGAGTTCTACGAGTGTCATGATGTTTACCATGATGTGTATGATGATCCCGCTCTTAATTGGGATCCAGATCTTAACTATGCGCGCTCTTATCTTCGTGATAAAGGGCAACCAGGCGGAGGACAGCAAGACTATGACTACTTTGAGACCTCGGTTGGGATGCCCATCAGCCCTCTGGTTCCTCCGCATGTGGAAGATAAGCTGGAGTTCTCTTTCTGGGGAGATTGGGAATCTGACCGGAGTTCTTGGAGTGGGGCATGCTATACTGATGGTTCTGGGATGGCCCCCAGTTGGCCAGAGCTAAGGAGATGCGGTTGGTCAGTAGTTCAACTTGGGGATAATGGGATGCCCATAAGAGCCTTGTTTGGACCATTTAGGGGGGCCTATACAGACTGTGGGAAGAGCTGAACGGTTTGCTGTCCTTCAAGCCCTCCGTCACTTGCCGCACGTCAATTTGCTTGTGTCAGACCTCCTGGGTCTCGTTCAAGAAGCAGACAGCTGGTCACCTGAACTTGCTGATGCTCAAGCGGCCGATGCCGACATCTGGCGATCCATCCTGGCAAGGTATCCTGGAGGAAAAGGCCGACCTTCCTTTTTGTGGTGCCCAGCGCACCTCACAGATGATGAATATGTCGACTGTGCTGAGGAAAAGAAGTTGCCATGGGAGTTGTCATGGGCAATCGTTGGGCATATTATTTTGCTAAGCGAGGCGCCCTTGAACGCGCTCAACCTGACGCGGTGGTCAAACACTTTGAGGCTCGGCTTCAGGATTCAAAGATGCAGGCGAAGTTCTTTTCTTGGGCAGCGGCCAAGATGGCTGCACGAGATCAACTGAGCGATCGCCCCGAGCAACTCCTGAGGGCCCCTCGGAACAATGTGCCTGTGTAGCTCTGACAGGGCATAATATGGTAATTAGGTCTCCCCAAGCCTTTCAGTGTAGAGAGTGTCTTGCGGTCGCCCGAACGCAGGCCAGTCTTGGGAAGCTCTTGGGAACTGAATGTAAGCCGACGGCCCAAGAGAGGCTGAAGGCACGTGCGGACCAGCAGCTCCAGCGAGCTCCGCCCATGAGGTCTCGCGCTGTGAATGTTGCCCTGAAAGGGGCTGCGGATTTTGAGGGTGTAGGCTCGCCACAGGACGTCCAGGGTGCTTCTGGACTTGCGGGGCCTCAGCCTGCCGCCGATGAAGAGATCGTCGAGCTCCAGGGGCGCCAGGTCTTGGCGCTGCCGTGGGCAATGGTTTGCACGCTTTGTGGCTCCTACCAAGCGCCTCGTGGCAAAGTAGCTCACTGTAAGCTGCAAGAGGAATGTCTCGGGGCGTCGGAGCACGGGCCGACCAGATATCGGCAGACATACGCCATTTCTGCCATCAAGGCTGGTCGCCACCCTAAGCCGGGCAAGTCTTTAAGACCCGTCTAACTTTCTTAAGTAAGGCCCGTGCTCCCGCCCCTCGGTTGCACGACATGGTCTGGCGCTGGCCCTCGTTCCCTTCGTCGTGGCTGCTTCTCCATAGCCGGCACCACTCGTGCTGAGTCGCCCAGCCTCGTCGCCCATTCTCTCCGTCTCGGTCTGTCTGCCTCCCTTTCTCTTTTCTTTGTTTCTTTATTTCTTTATTTCTCTCTTTCTCTCTCTCTCTCTCTCTCTCTCTCTCTCTCTCTCTCTCTCTCTCTCCCTTTGTGTGTTGTTTCCCAGCCCTCCTGCGTTGGGTTCTCGTTTTGAATAGAGCACTGCTCGCGCGTCGCCTTCCTTACTTCTTCCTTCCTTCCCGCCCCTCTCTTCCCCCTTGCCTTTTTGCCTAGCTCGTCGCTGCGTGCCAGCTGGGGGGCTGCGATCTGTGAAACCGTTGCCACTTTCGAGGACTGCTGGGGGGTCCAGCACAGTGTGTACACACGGCGGGCGCACATGGGACCTCGCCGTCCCTGGGGGGCTGCGATTTGCGAAATTGCCACCACTTTTGAGGCTTGCTGGGGGGCCCAGCACAGCGGGTACACACGGCGGATTCAAACTGGACCTCGCCATCCCTGGGGGGCTGCGATCTGTGAAATTGCCCCCACTTTCGAGGGCTGCTGGGGGGCCCAGCACAGTGGGTACACACGGCGGACTCAAATGGGACCTCGCCATCCCTGGGGGGCTGCGATCTGTGAAACTGTCGTCACTTTCGAGGCCTGCTGGGGGGCCCAGCACAGCGGGTACACACGGCGGACCCAAATGGGACCTCGCCATCCCTGGGGGCTGCGATCTGTGAAACTGTCGCCACTTTCGAGGGCTGCGGGGGGGTCCAGCACAGTGGGTACACACGGCGGACTCAAATGCCTCGCCGTCCCTGGGGGGCTGCGATCTGTGAAACTGTCGCAACTTTCAGGGCTGCTGGGGGGCCCAGCACAGTGGGCACACACGGCGGATTCAAATGGGACCTCGCCATCCTGGGGGGGCTGCGATCTGTGAACTGTCGCCACTTCGAGAGCCTGCTGGGGGGCCCAGCACAGTTGGGTACACACGCGGCGGACTCAAATGGACCTCGCCATCCGTGTGGGTGCCTGCGATATGTGAAACTGTCTCCACTTTCGAGGCCTGCTGGGGGGCCCAGCACAGTGGGTACACACGGCGAACTCAAATGGGACCTCGCCATCCCTGGGGGGCTGCGATCTGTGAAACTGTCGCCACTTTCGAGGCCTGCTGGGGGGCCCAGCACAGTGGGTACACACGGCGGACTCAAATGGGACCTCGCCATCCCTGGGGGGCTGCGATCTGTGAAACTGTCGCCACTTTCGAGGCCTGCTGGGGGGCCCAGCGGAGTGACGCCCTACGGGGATTCAGATTAGCCCTCGCCATCCCTGGGGGGCTGCGATCTGTGAAACTGTCGCCACTTTCGAGGCTGCTGGGGGGCCCAGCACAGTGGGTACACACGGCGGACTCCAATGGGACCTCGCCATCCCTGGGGGGCTGCGATCTGTGAAACTGTCGCCACTTTCGAGGCCTGCTGGGGGGCCCAGCACAGTGGGTACGCACGGCGGACTCAAATGGGACCTCGCCATCCCTGGGGGGCTGCGATCTGTGAAACTGTCGCCACTTTCGAGGCCTGCTGGGGTGCCCAGCACAGTGGGTACCCACGGCGGATTCAAATGGGACCTCGCCATCCCTGGGGGGCTGCGATCTGTGAAACTGTCGCCACTTTCGAGGCCTGCTGGGGTGCCCAGCACAGTGGGTACCCACCGCGGACTCAAATTAGACCTCGCCATCCCTGGGGGGCTGCGATCTGTGAAACTGTCGCCACTTTCGAGGGCTGCTGGGGGGCCCAGCACAGTGGGTACTTACCGCAGACTGAAATTTGACCTCGCAATCCCTGGGGGGCTGATTATCGCCACTTTCGAGGGCTGCTGAGGGGCCCAGCACAGTGGGCACTCACCGCAAATTCAGATTAGACCTCGCCATCCCTGGGGGGCTGCGATTTGTGACACTGTCGCCACTTTCGAGGCCTGCTGAGGGGCACAGCACAGAAGGTATTCACCGCAGACTCAGATTAGACCTCGCCATCCGTGGGGGGCTGCGATCTGTGAAACTGTCGCCACGTTCGAGGGCTGCTGAGGGGCCCAGCACAGTGGGTACTTACCGCAGACTCAGATTAGACCTCGCAATCCCTGGGGGGCTGCGATCTGTGAAACTGTCGCCACTTTTTTGTCCCACGTAGAGTGCCCAGCACAAGTTGCTCCACATAACAGTTTTTTCTCCTGCTCTTCGATTCTCTTGCTCTCGTGCACGTCATGACTTCCTTCGAGACCTGTAGTGGTCGCCCCTCTTCCGTGATACTGTTTTCCTGCGCAAACATTTCCGATACGCGTGTCCCAAGTACTTAACATACAAACAACGTATCCTGCAATATGATTGTCCATGCAGTTTTCGGCCAACCTCGTCCGATTCCCATGATACAAATGTTGGGTAAGTCCCACAGGTAATTTTTCTCTGTCCTATGCTCTCTCTCACCAACTCTTCTCTCATCTCTTCTTACTTTCTTTCTTTATATATTTAAAATATATATATATATATATATATATATCGGAGGTGAGGGGGTAAGATCGAAGTGGAACGGAGAGCCCCCCTACCGGGAAATCGGTTTCGGTTTCGTGTTCGTGCGTGCCGTGCGTGCGGGCGAGGCGAAGCTGCGTGGGCGGGCGAGAGATAAGTCTCCTGTAGCTGAGGCGCGGCCGGACCAAAAGTCTCCCTTCCGGCAACCGGTGCCCCGCGGTGTCCCGCCGGTGTTTCCGCCAGGTCCCCCGTGTCCCGATGAGATGATGATGATGATGATGAGATGATGATGATACTGATGTACTGATGATGATAGTTGATGATCGTTACAGAAATGATATGCTGAATGAAGAAGATATGATGATGAGTGATGGTGGGTGATGGTGGGTGATGTAGTGATGATGTAGTGATAATGATGATGGTGGTCCCGTTGATGTGGTGGTCCCGTTGATGATGATAGATGATAGCTGATAGATGATAGACAGCTGATAGATGATGATATGATGTGAAATATGATGATATGATGAAGATGCTATGGTGGGTGATGTATGGTGCGCCACCGATGATATGAGATATGAGTAGGAGCTATGATGATGGTGCCCCGATGATGATGGTGTTGATGATCCTGATGATGTTGATGATGATCAGGTGATTTGCTGATGACGATGAAGATGATGATGATGATGGTGTCGCGGTGATGATGTGGTCGATGATGATGCTGTTTATGATGATGGTGATGTTGATGATGATGATGGTGTCCCGATGATGGTGATAATGATGATGATGATGACGATCATGGTGTCCCGATGTTGATGATGAGGATGATGATGATGAGGTGATGATGACTTTGATGATGGTGGCCCAATGATGGTGATGATGCTGATGTTGATGATGATGATGATGGTGTCCCGATGATGTTGATGATGCTGATGTTGAGGATGATGGCGACGATGGATTATTGGTGTCCCTATGATGAATGATGATGAATGATGATGCTAAGATGATGATTATGATGGTGTCTGGATGATGATGATGTTGATGATGTTGTTCATGATCATGATGATGATGATGATGATGCTGATGATGGTGGTGTTCCGATGATGATGATGGTGCCACGATGATTATGACGATGTTGATGATGATGGTGACGATGATGGTGTCCCGATGATGATGATGATGGTGATGGTGATGCTGATGATGTTGAAGATGATGTTGATGACATTGATGACGATGATGTTGATGATGATGACGTTGATTGTGATATCGCTTGTGATATCGATAGTGAGATCGATAGTTAGACCGAATGTGAGATCGATTGTGAGATCGATAGTGAGATCGATATTGAGATCGATTGTGATATCGATAGCCAGATCGATTGTGAGATCGATCGAATGAAATAGATCGAGTGAGATCGATTGTGAGATCGATCGAGTGAGATCGATCTTGCGAGACCGATCGTGAGATCGATAGTGATATCGATAGTGAGACCGATCGAGTGAGACGTTTGTTCCTCCCTCCCCCCGAACCTCCTTATCACCCGAAGGATGGTCGTATGGGTATACCTGGATTCCCTTCTCTTCTGTGTCTTTGTAATCTGGGACCCTGCGAACCCCACCCCGTACATGGGACCTCCCAGGCTCTTGGGCCCCAGGAGCCACTTTTGGACGCCCCTGCAGACGGTCCCTCGTGCTTTCCAAAGCTCCCGAAGCCCCTGCTGGCCCTGGGCAGCGGGCCCACATCGTTCTCCTCCTCCTCCTCCTCCTCCTCCTCCTCCTCATCCTGCCCCTCCTGCCTCCTCCGCCTCCTGTTCCTCCTCCCCCTCCTCCTCCTCCTCCTTCTCGGGAGAGGGAGGAGAACGGAGGGCGGCCCGACGGCCCCGTGAGAGCCCACAGAGGCTCCAGACACCCACCAGACGCCCGAAGGCGACCCAAAGAAGACCCCCAAGAGGCCCGTTGCCATTTTGGCTCAAGGCGCCCTGGCCTAGGACTGACCCCGCGCGGCCCGCGATACCGGTACCTCGTGGTACCCCCAGCAATGGCGAGCGCCCCGCGGGACGCCATGGCCTTCAGCGAGAGGTCCGTGCGGCACGGCTTCGTCCGGAAGGTGTACGGGATATTGGGCACTCAGCTGCTGGTCACCACCGTGCTGGGCGGGGCTGTCATGAAGAAGAGCGAGTCCATGGACCCGGAGATTGGCACCGTCCTGATGTTTCTGTCTTTGCTGGGCTCGGTTGCGACCATGATGGTGTTCTGGCGCTGTCCTCAGGTGATGCGCCGCTCTCCCACGAATTATATCCTGCTGGGGATGCTCACCCTCGCCAAGAGCGTCATGGTTGGCTTCGTCTGCAGCCAGTACAGCGAGGAGTCGGTGCTGGTCGTCCTCGGCCTGACGTGCTTCATCCTGGCGGGCCTGACCGCGTTCACGTTCCAGACGAAGTACGATTTTACTGGTTTCGCGTCGTACCTGATGTGCGGATCACTCGTCATGCTCGGCATGAGTTTCGGTCTGATGTTCGGCTCCATCTTCGGTCTTTCGGGCGCGGCCTTCCAGACCGCCCGTCTCTGCATGTGTGGGCTTGGCGCCTTGCTCTTTGCAGCCTACATCGTGCACGACACCCAGATGATCCTTGGGAACAAGCACCCAAACCGCAAGTTCTCGGTTGATGACTACGCCGCGGCGGCCATCATGCTCTACATCGACATCGTCCAACTGTTCCTCTACCTCCTGGAGCTCCTCGGCGACCGCAGGGACAGCCGCGACCGCGGCGTGAGGGGTGCCCGCGCCCGCTTCCAGCCGGCGCGGTAAGCGGGCACAGTTGCGCCAGCCGGGTGTTGGCAGATGTGTTGGCCGCAGTCCAGCAGCGACTGACACCACTTGAGCCAGATACAGCGAGGTCTCACTCGAGCCAGTTTAAGCAGCGCCGTGGCCAGGGCAGCGACGCGCATCACAGCGACGTGCGAGCGACAGAGAACAAAAAAGAAACAAGAGGCATTCGGAACGCAAAAGCCATTGCTTTCCTTTGATTTTTGTATGACTTGGGAAATGCTCAGTTCTTCCGTCTTCCGGGCGTCCGAGACTGCCCAGGAGGCCGGAGCATCGCCCCAAATTAACCAAGAGGGCTTCCAGGCAGTCCAAGATGAGTCCCAAGACGGCCCAGCAGGGCCCCAAAATGGCCCGAAGAGAGCCCGATGACGGCCCAAGATGGCTCCAAGACGCCTCCGAATCATTCCAAATCGTGACCTGGTCGTTCAGGGAGACCGCGGCAGGGTGGCCCAGGGAAGCCCCCAGTGGCCCCCGAAGGAACCCAGGAGGCTTCCAGAAGGCCCCAACAAGCCCTTAAACACATGCGTGAGATTTACAAGAGGCGTTCCCAGGATGAGCCTCGACAAGAAGAGCTGAGGATGGTGGCGAATTCGCAGGGTAGTGCGAGAATGAGGAAGAGGAAGAGGAAACATGAGGGAAGGATAACACATTACAGTATCATAACGACGATGCCAGAAAAGGCAACAACGAGTTATCGCTAAATGTTCCGCTTTACCTTATTGCCTTCCTGTCTGCATGCCAAGCTTGAAGGACCAAAGTGCATGGCGCGAAGCGCCAATGCAGTCTTGTATACAGTCGGGCCGCTGACTACGGACATTTACTTTTCAAAAGGAGCTCGGGCGTTCCTTAGGTTTGCATGCGTTCCGCTTTTTGGGGGCGGCGAGCCCCCCAGTGCCCCTTCGGGCTTCATGGGCTTCTTTGGAAAAACGGGGCCTCGTTCCTTATTTGTCGTTCTTTGGGTCAGCGGCCCGACTGTATGTATGTTTGTATGTATGTGTGCATGTATGTAGGTGTATATATGCATGTACGTAGTATGCCTATATATATGAGAGAGCGTGATCCACCGCCGCTTTACTGTGGAAAATTGCCAACCTTTTCCTCCGGACGTAAACCCGGGTCCCCCCCCCCCCCCCCCTCGAAAATCCCCCCCCCCCCCACGCCCTTGCCGGAACCCCTCCCCCCCCCCCCCCCCCCCCCTCTCCACCGCAACACCCCCCCCCCTCCCCTACCCCCGCCCCCCCCCCCTCCCTCTCGAAAACACCCGGGGGGTTCCACTACCGTTTCGAACCCCTCCCCCCCCCGCCCCCCCCTCCGATCCGGAAAACCGGGGGGGGGCCACTAACCGGTTTTCGACCCCCCCCCGCCCCCCCCCCCCCCCCCCCCCCCCCCCTCCCCCCCCCCCCCGCCCACCCCCCGCCCCCCCCCTACTCACCGCCAGCAAACGACTCCCGGTCCCCACCACCGTCCGCATCACATCCCCCACTGTTGTTCCCAGCACCACTGTCCTCACCACCGCTGTCCCCACTGGTTCCACCACCGCCCCTACTGTCCCCACCAGTGGCCCCACCACTGTCGCACTGTCCCCGCTGTCCCCAGAACTGTTCCCACCACGGTTCCACTCTCCCCACTGTCTCCACGGCCCCCACCACTGCCCGACTATCCCCACTGTCCCCACTGTCCCACTGACTCCTCCGCTGTCCCACTGAGCTGTCCCACTGTTCCCACCACTGTCCCCACTGTCCCCGCTGTCCCCACCACTGTCCCCACTGTACCTCTGTCCCATTGTCCCACCGCCGTCCTCGCCACCGCTTTCACCACTGTCCCCACCACCATTGTACCCTCCACTGTCCCACTGTTTCCACCTCGTTCCCATTGTCCCCACACCACTGTCCCCACCACCACCGTCACCACCACTGTCCACTGTCCCCCCCTGTTCCCACCATTGTCCCCACCACTGTCCCCACCACTACCGTCCCCACCACTGTCCCACTGTCCCACTGTCCCCACCATTGTCCCCACCACTGTCCCCACCACTACCCTCCCCACCGCTGTCCCACTGTCCCCCCACTGTCCCCACCACTGTCCCGCTGTCCCCTCACCACTGTCCCCACCAACACCGTCCCCACCACTGTCCGCACCCCCACTCGGTTTTCGAGGGGGAGGGGGGGGGGGGGGGGGGGGTGGGTTTCGAACCGGCAGTGACCCCACCCCCCCTTTTTCATGTAGGCTGGGGGGAGGGGGGGGGGGGGGGTGGGGAGGGGTTCGAAACCGGTGAGTGACCGAGGGCGTTTTTCCGAGGTGGGGGGGGGGGGGGGGGGGGGGTTCGAGCCGGTATTGACCCCCCCGGTTTTCCGCCAGCACGGTAGACACGCTCTTTCATATATAATATAATATAATATATATATATATATATATAATATAATATATATATGTATATAGATATGTGTGTCGGTGGTCCTTTTGTCGAACAGCACGTTCCTTTACAACGGTGGAAGTTCGAGTTCGGCTACATCATCGGTCGGGCCCTGCGCTGCAACTGGAGAGGACAGTGATGTGAATCAAGCCAGAAAGGAAGCTGGCGGTAACACCATGAATGGACGCATTACCACCGTCAACACTGATGCTTCTGGGCCCTTGCTGCAATATCTTGGACAAGCGCGTGATGCCGCCATATTGGTTCAAGAGCACAAGGCGGATCACAAGATGCTTCCTAAGCTCCAGCAGCAGATCCAGGACATCGGTTACCATGGTGTGTGTGCAGCAGCTGAGCGTACTGAAGCAGACGGCCTCAGCTCGGGCGTGGCGGTGTTGGTGCCGACCTTTGTGATGATCACGGCGCCGCCACTGTTATCGTCGCCAACGTTATGGCCATCAAGAGCGGTGGCTGCACAGGTCAACTGGGGCTGTAAATGCGGAATTGTTTTTGTATCGCTCTACCCCAAAGACTCGGTTGGAATTGATGCCTACAACCAGTCCATATTATATAAGTTGGCAAAGTATCTTGGCAGGCTTAACTCTCTTTCGAGACCATGGGTGGTTGGAGGTGATTGGAATATTGAGTCGTATCAGCTTCGCGGGCAGCAATGGCTTGAGCAGATTCAGGCGATGTTCTTGGTACCTGTTGGTGCTACGTGCAGAGTTCACAAAGAAGCTGACGGTCGTACTTACGATTGGTTTCTTCTTAGTGAGGCGCTGGCTTCGCGAGCTGGCGCCCCCCATGATCTTGGATGACAAGAGTTTACCCACGCATTCGCCTGTGGCCATTCCATTTGCAAAGACAGATAATGATATATGGTTGCGCTTGCTTGTTGAACCTCGTCAGCCCCCGAAAGGACCAATTTTTGGTTGTTCCAGGTATCCTGTAAATTGGGTGTCAGCCATGAGGGCGATAGAGGATGTTGACGGGCAGGCCTCATTGCAGCACGCATGGGATATGACGCTGATGGCAGTGGAGCAGGAGTTGTGTGCACGGCATGACAAGGTAGGAGCTGGTCATGAGAGATACCTTGGACGAGGAGGACCAGTGCAGACTAAGTACGTCAAGGCGCAATGGAATCCGCGACAGGTGCGACTACAGCATGGGCCGCGACTTCGAGCTTGGCTTCAGGCTGCGCGTTGGGCTAAGCATCTTATGAAAGTGCGGGCCTTGTGGTGCAAGATGGCTGAGGCGTTCAAGTTTGAGGGTAGAAGTGCTGGCACGTTTTACCTTCCTGACTACACGAGTCCGCACTCTGACAAGGTCGTGGTATTGGAGACTACGAATGAAGAGATGGAGGAGGCTTGGCAGAAGGTCAAAACCAAAAGACCACACTTGCGACCTAAGTCTCGGCGTGCGGGGGTGAAGTCCGATAAAACGCGGTCAGAGCAGTTGAAAGGTGCAAAACAGCCTGCGCAACCGCGTGCAAATTCTGAAGAAGATCTTAGATCTCACAAGCTGCTCAAACCGGCTGCAAGATTGGCGAGATCACTGGTTGATGTGGTCCACTTCTTGAAGAAGGTGCACAATGCGCAGGACACGCTGCGGCATCTTGATGATTTGGCAGTTGATTTGTTTTCTGGGGATTTCACTATGATGGTCCGACCTGATTTTCTGACATTGGCATTCAAGATTGTGGAAGTTGCTGATGATATGATGCTGGTGCATCAGAAGGAAGCTGACAAATCTTTGCAATCATGGGTCAGGTCTGCATTTGAGAAAGGAGCTGGTGCTGCACATCGCGCGTCGAAGGCGAAGGCATTGGAAGCTGCTGTCACTCACACTGATAACTTTCAGCCGTATCAACTTGCCGACAGAGAGCTTGAGTGCTGGAGTGAGGTGTGGAGTTGTCATAAAGTGGTGAGCAACAAGATGCCTGCCGATTATCAGAGCTGTGATCTGCTACCGAAGCTGCGGCCTGAAGACCTTCAGGAAGCGGCGCTTACCTTTCCATGGAAAACGTCGGTAGGTCCCACGCGACTGCATCCTCGGGCTTCCTGGTATCTTCCGCAGCCAGGCCTGGTTGCTCTTGCAGCTCTATTTACGATGTGTGAGCATATGTTGATGTGGCCGTCTGACAAAATAGTCAATGAGATGGTTAGACTAGCAAGACCTGATGGGGGAACACGTCTTATCATCTTGGTCGAGTCGCTAGTCCGTCTTTGGCCCCGAGCTCGCCGACCGATTTCCAGAAGGTGTATTCAAGATCATGGTAGCCGGTGTATTTGGGGCAGCCGGCGCGGCTACTCATCCAGCTTCTCGGCGTATGAGCATAACTTACATGCTGAAATAGCTGATCGACTAGGTGAATGTTCAATCATTGTATTTTTCGATATGTGGACATGTTTTGAGACGGTTATGTATGACGCCCTCATCATAGAGGCTCGGCCCATGCAGTTCCCCATGAGGCTCCTCTGGATGCTCTTGGACTCGTACCACAACTTAGAGTAAGTGGAGCTTTTGGGTGCTGGAGCAAATCGTTTCGGGCTCTGCAGGGTATAC